AGGAGAAGGAGGTTTGGGTTTAAGAAAGGCTAAAGATATGAATATGGCCTTAGTTTCAAAAGTGGGCTGGAGACTCATGAATGAAACAGAAAGCCTTTGGGCCCATGTTTTGAGAAAAAAATACAAGGTTGGGAGCGTACAAGATCAAGGCTGGCTGGCAGCTAAGAGACCTGGGTCGTCGACCTGGAGAAGCATCGCAGCAGGTCTACGGGAAGTGGGGTTGAAAGGAAGTAGGTGGGTGCTTGGTAATGGTCGGGATATACGATTTTGGACCGACAAGTGGCTGTTGAATGCACCGTTGGTGGAGAGAGTTATTACGGAGTTACCTAATGAGGTTTTACAGTGGCGGGTGAAGGACTTGTGGCAGGAAGGGACGGGCTGGTGTTTGAATGTGATTGTGCCTTATGTCACGCCAAGGACAAGATTGGAACTGGCCGCGATAGTTGTTGATAACGTGACAGGATCCAAGGATCGTATTGCTTGGGGAGAAGCTGCAGATGGAAAGTTCACAGTCAAATCGGCGTACACCATGATCACGAGAGATGAGTCTCCCAAACCGGATATGACTACCTTTTATAACAGGATATGGAAGATTAAAGTACCGGAGAGGGTGAAGACATTTTTGTGGCTAGTTAGTCATCAAGCTATCATGACTAATGTTGAAAGATTTAGGCGGCATATCGGGGATACCAATGTTTGTCAAGTATGCAAAGGTGGTGAAGAGACGATTATTCATGTCTTGAGAGACTGCCCGTCTATTTCGGGAATATGGAGCCGCCTTGTACCAGAACGGAGGAAACAAGAGTTTTTCAACGCTCCTCTCCTCACTTGGTTACACGGAAACCTGCGGGTGGGGGAAGGAACGGGTGACTGTGAGTGGTCTACGACATTTGCGGTTGGAGTTTGGTGGGGATGGAAGTGGAGATGTGGCTATGTGTTTGGCGAGACCGGAAAGTGTAGAGATAGAGTGAAATTTGTGAAGGATTGGGCCAAGGAAGTGTATCAGGCCAATGAGATTCATAGGGTTGAGAAGAATGTTGGGGGTAGAGTTGAGAGAAGAATAGCTTGGCAGCCGCCGCTGGGCGAATGGGTGAAGCTGAATTCAGACGGCGCTTCTCGTGGAAATCCAGGCTTGGCCGCGGCGGGAGGAGTTTTAAGGGATGGTATGGGGCGTTGGCGTGGCGGTTTTGCCATTAATATTGGTATTTGCTCTGCTCCGCTAGCGGAGCTTTGGGGAGTGTATTATGGGCTATATATCGCGTGGGAGAGGAGGATCACGAGACTAGAGTTGGAAGTAGACTCGGAGTTGGTGGTGGGTTTTTTAAAATCAGGGATTAGTGATTCGCACCCCCTGTCGTTCCTGGTACGTTTGTGCCATGGCTTTCTTACAAGGGACTGGATAGTCCGGATTTCGCATGTTTATAGGGAGGCTAACCGTCTTGCTGACGGGTTAGCAAACTATGCTTTTACGTTGCCGCTTGGCTTTCATATGTTTGAGTTAGCTCCGAGTGTTGTGGAGACTATTTTGTTGGAGGATAGTCGAGGAACTTCGTTTCCGAGATCGGTCCGTTTGTAATTTTTTTTATTTTTGTTCTGAATAAATTAGCGGGGAGACATTGTCTCCCCGTGGCTCACCAAAAAAAAAAATGTGGAGGTTACTGGAATCCTGGGATAATTTAATCGTGACTGAGAGAGAAATTTTAATTTTCTGCAATTAGAGTATTTTGTTATGTCTCAAAATCATCTTTTTTTTTTTTTTTTCAACATTTCAAAATCATCTAACACACCAATAATCAAACTTTTCGTTTTATTCAGACACTAGAAACAGCAACAAAAACACATTGGTAATAAATCTTTAAACAAAAACAAAGAACATTAATTAGTCCCTTTTTTGTATTATTCTCTAGAATACAAAGGGAACAAGAGCCTTGATATGCTTGGGGAAGTCATCAAACTTGGAAAGATACCAACTTCGTGTAGCGTAACTCCGACCGATGAGATACAACATTGTTCCCATAGCGAAAGAAAATGAATAAATGGTCTGAGAGATCATAAAGAAGCTCCAAAACACAAGAATCTCAAATAGATAGTGAGGGCATATGATTATATCAAAGAGACCTCCTTTTGGTATCTTGTACTCTTTCTTCCCATCTTCTTTCCTTAACTTAGCTAGCAATATATGGTGATACAGATTCCCAACAATACCCACCACAAACATGAGAATCCCGGCGAATTTCATATCGAAACTCGGCTCGGTCAGTCCCAAGGTGAGATCTTGACTGTATAACATGAATGCCGTGGATGAGAAATAGCTGCTACTTATGACGAAAGCCGAGTCTACAGCCATCCCACCACTGTATTTATGAATGAACAGAACCTGTTCGATGAAATGCGTCAGAGAGATGAAGCTACTGCTATAGCAATTAAAGGGTACTTCTTAGATGATTATAACAACTCCTAATCGAAACCCAAGAAATTAGTACCTCACAAGCTTACATGAATAAGTCAAGTGTGTTTATTTACTTATGAATGAACATAAAGTGTTCGACAAAATGCGTCAGAGAGAGAGGGAGCCAAGGGTTTGTTTACCTCGAAGACCCTCTTGAAGAAATGGAGGGCAAGTGCGGATTTGAGAAGAAGAAACCTGAGATCATCACAAGGTAAGACGAAGAAAGAAGCCGCAGCGGCTAGAAACGCTGGTGTGTATAGCCAAAGCATTCCATTTCGGCTTGAGATGCTGCCGAATCGCTGCTTTTGTGGTTGTGGTGATGATGATACGCCGAATTTGGAGTATTTGAGATGATTTCCTGTGACTTCAGACCAACCGATCTTGGCCAGAGCGGCTAAACCAACGACGCTCATACAATTGAGCAAGATCGATGGAGGTGGTGGATATACAAAACTTGTCACCATTTCCATTGATGTTTTTGTTTCTCTTTGGAAGAAAGAAGAAGCTATTGTTTATGCAATTTTGGATACTTTTTTGTCCTATCCAAATCTCTTCTATTAATAGCCACAAATTTTTACTAATTTTTTGATGAATAATACTTAATGATTAAGGTGACACCGACATGATATATGCAGATATGATTCGATTTAGCTGTCTTTATCTTTCATATAAACGTATAAAGTGTGGTGTAATTCTTGACTTATACATATATTAATGTTAAGAAACCTCTATATGTGATTCTGACTTTGATGAATCTATTGTGTGAACGTTTCCATTTGTGGGTGCAACCGTGTAACTCTGACTTTGAATCTAATCTAATGTGAACAAAGCTCCGTGATGACGAATGTAGATTCATGCCGTTTTCTAATGGACGGACAACGTCCACGTGTGTTTCCTTCAATACGGAACACGTCGTTTCTCTCACGGAGAGAAGGACTGCATGCCGTTTTACTAAAAAAGTACATTCATGTCCGTCGTTTATAAGTTCCGTTTTAGTTTTGACAACTAGTTACTAGAAGCGAGCAACATGTGAACTACGTGTTGTCTTTCTGAGACAGCTTTGTTTTTTCACTTTACCTTTCCCCATCACTAGTAGTAGGTGTGTGTGATAAGCATATATTATAAGATCACCGCTGACGTGGCGCATGAGCTGGCAGGAACAGAAGAAGAGATTGGATGAGAGCAAAGACTTGGAATCATCGAGGAGTATAAAGAGTCATTGGAGTAATGATGTATACGATTAATTATGCATTGTTCTGTGAGTGTAGCAACAAGCCTGCGAGTTTGTTAGATTCAGAGCTGCGTCTCTGTCACCATTGTTGATCAATAAAGAAGTAGTTAAAGGATAGAGTTTAGATCAAACTTATCAGTGTGCAAACAAACAAGGAAACTAGTATGCATTCTCAAACTTAAATCATTCCCAAATTCCAAACATAATCCAGACCCTACACTGTGTATCCAAAGTTTTTCTTATATAAAAACTTTGAACTAACCCTAAGTACAGTACAGTAAAGAACTTCTTATATAGCAAGCCTATACAGTTACAAAGGCACAACATATATATTCCCCCAACCCCCCAAAAACAAAAAAACTCTCTATCACACAAAAAACAAGAATCCCTAAGAGATTCAAGAAACAGAAACATCTTCTTCTTCACATTCATGTATAGAGTTCATCTAGGACCAGAGAGCTCCATTGCTTGCACAAGTAAGCTAGAGTCATCAGTAAGATCAGAGTATCTGTCTGAAGATGACATCAATTCATTTATCCTGTTGCTACATTTTGAAACACTATCTGATCTTTGTGAATCTTCCCATTTCTCTGCAAGTCCATCTCCTTCGAGCATTCGAACAACTTCAGACATTTTTGGTCTATGTCCTGGCAGATACTGTGTGCACAACAAAGCTACTCTTACCATTTCGTCTAACTCAATCTCATCATAGCTCTTCTTCTTCAACAGCTCTTTATCCACAAGTAGCTCAAGTTTCTTCTCTTGATGAATCTTTTTCACCCAATCAAGCATCGCGCCTTTCTGGTTAGCCGCTTTACCAAACTCAAGAGCTCTTTGTCCGGTTACAAGCTCAAGAAGAAGAATCCCAAACCCAAAAACATCGGTTTTCTCAGAGGATTGACCAGTTGAGAGATACTCTGGAGCAATGTGACCAACCGTGCCTCTAACCGCAGTTGTGACATGAGAATCTTGATGATTCAAGAGTTTAGCTAAACCGAAATCTCCAACCACAGCTTCACAGTAGTCATCAAGAAGTATATTCGCTGCTTTGACATCGCGGTGGATAATCTTCGGATCACATTGCTCATGCAGATACACAAGCCCTCTTGCAGCTCCTATGGCTATCCTCTTCCTTATGCTCCAGTCAAGAACCGGTTTTGCCTTCATTCGAGACGCAACACTTCCATTAGACATGTAAGGATAAACCAGAAGCTTCTCAGTTTGCGTGATGCAGAAACCATAGAGTCTTAAGAGGTTTCGATGAACAGCTAAACTGATCATTTCGACTTCTGTCTGAAACTGAATCTCTCCTCCTAATGCTCCTCCATCTTTAAGCCTTTTCACTGCAACCACGGTACTGTCTCCAAGTACTCCTTTGTATACATTTCCATAGCCACCTTTCCCCAATAAGTTCTTACTGCTGAAGTTATTCGTCGCGATCTGAAGCTCCCTGAAACCGAATCTCCTCAGGTTTCCAAGTGAAACTTCCTCATGATGATTCCCATCTGTTGTATAAAAGAATTTTCTTTCAAACAAAAAACTTTTAAGAAGGTTCAATGAAAGTAAGAAACTGAGTAAGATCAAACCTTTAACATCAAAGAATGTGTTTTGGTTATGTCTTTGTCTCCACCACAGAAACAAACCAACAGCAATGAAGATCAATGATATAGTCCCAACGCTGGATCCAACAGCGATTGCCATTTTGTGATTCCTCGATCCACCGGTGTATAAAGGAGCTTAAAAAAGAAAAGAGCTGTTAGTTAGGTATTATTAATACCAATATTAAAGTTTTTAAAAGTAGTTAGTTATTTACCTCCAGTTTGATTCAAGTTCATAGACATAGGTATCAATGTTGTTCCATTGCAGTCTGGTTCGGTACCCGTTGGACATATCAGCGGGTTCCCAACGATGCTGTAATCAGAAGGTAAACAATGAAAGGTTATCATAAAGATAAAGAGAGAGTGAAAGAGTGAGACATTGAGAAAAAATCAATCACCTAAAGGTCTTTGCAGCAAATCTTGGGACAGGACCACTAAGATTGTTGTATGATAAATCACTGGAAACAAAAAAAAAACAGATCAAATCTCAACATTACATGTCTCTACATATGAATTGCTTATTGGTTAATGTAGACTGAAGATTAAGAAGCTTACAGAAATGCAAGTTGAGTCATATTAGATAGTGACAGAGGAAAAACTCCAGTGAGAGAATTGTTGTTTAGCCTCCTGATGATACACAAAAATGACATATCAAGATCACACATTCCTTAAAAAAACCAACAAAAACTAAGAGATCCATAACAAATTTTATCAATCTTACAGGTATTGCAGGCTTCGTAGATAGCCTACTGAAAAAGGAATTTCACCGCGGAAGAAGTTATCAGAGAGATCAAGAGTCTCAAGCCTCGTAAGCCGACCAATCTCAGTAGGAATTTTTCCTGTTATGTTGTTGTTCTGCAGCAGCCTGTAAGAGAGAATAAAAAATCATCAAGAACATACACACAAACACAAAACACAGTGTAATCAAAGTGGAAAACTTTATAATGGTTTTAAGTAAAAAACAGTAAGTACTTACACAATCCGAAGATTTGTTAAGTTGGTAATGCTTGGAGATAATGTACCAGATAAATTCTGACTAGGTGTGCCCCTGTAATTATATGAAAGCATTTTTTTTATCTTCACGTGTACATCAGTATAATATATGAGTGTATCAATGTAAATGTGAAACTTACAAGCCAATGACAAAGTTTTCTGAAGAACAAGTGACCATTGTCCAACTACAAGGATCAACAGCATCTCTATCCCAATTATCAAGAACACCATGAGGATCATGTAATGAAGCTTTTATGTCCATCAAAGCTTGCACTGAAGAAAATATAAAAAAAACTCACACATTAGTTTGGATCAAGAAGAGATAAATATATACAAAATATACATAACAGTCCCATTTTGCACAAATTGAAATCCTTTATTTGAATTCCCATCAACAAAAATTCTACAGATACCAAATATCAAACACTTCATCTACAAAAGTGACAATGTAAAAAAAAAAAAAAAAAATTCCAAAGAGTGAAACTTTATAATGAATATACCTTCAAAGTTAATTCCTTTAGGAGAAAGCAATCCGTCAACAGAAGAGCTGAGAAGGCATAGAAATCCCAAGAAGCAAAATAAAGATCTTGTTATCATCATCATCATAACAATAGTACTCTCCATTGTTGAAACAGAGAGAAAGGAATGAGCAGAAAACAAGATGTACTCAGCTTCCAAATAATTTGGTATTTGATGGAGAGAGAGAAAGAGAGTAAGAGAGAGTGAGATTGGAAGAATCAAAAAACCAAATCTTTATCCTTTTTCTTTTCAATTTGGGTTAAAGTATAAACATTTCAACATCAATAAGAACCCACTTCACCAAAAGCATAACCTTTATTAAAAAAAAAACTATTTTTTATATGTCAGAAACAATATATAGATACCAGATTCATTGGTAGTCTAAAGTGAAATTCATATAGCATGCTTGTCGATAAAGCTTGTGTGTGGGGAGACCGTTAAAAAAGTAATAAATTTTAAATTAAAAAAATGTAAGAAAAATATATTAATAATTTTGCCCATATTCTTGTAATCGACAAGAATAGTCAGTAAAGCAAATCTTATTTTGTGTATTTCAAAAATTAAAAAAGGGTAAAGCAGGAAATTAGATTACTGTTCTTTTGCTAGCTGCCACCCTGTCATGTATTTTGTCTATGGTTTTTAAGTTTTAGTTTAAAATATACATGTATATTTGTTACATTTTTTCCTTTTTTCAGTCTTAGTTTATTTCACATATACTTGCATAGATCGTGTTTATAATGTTGAGTTCTGATGAAAACACATTGATGACTGATTGCTTGGTAGAAACGGAACCCAACATCCATGGTTGGTCATGCATAGCTAAACCTAAATCTTTATTAGTTCCTCCTCAGTATATAAATACAGTATGTTTTTGCATGTAATCAAAATTTGGGGTTAATATGTTTTGAGAATGTGAGAACTTCGATGGAAAAGATTATATGAAAAAAAGAACTAGGCTCTAGATCATTTTTTTCTTTATTGATTTTGTTGCCCACTCAATCTGCAGCATCTTTGTCTTCTCGATGTGTGGAAACACGAAGATATTAGTAAAATCTTCAAAAAGATTTTTTAAAGGATAAAAAAAAAATTCTTCAAAAAATTATTTGTAATATTCCTTTAGAAAACTTAGATCTCTTATCTTAAAGTCGAGATTACAGTGCCACAAAACGAAAATGTTAAAAGATTTAATTGTATGTAG